CCGCTCCCCTTCCCGCAGCCGCCCCCCAGCCCGGCGGTTACCTGTGCGGCCGCGGGCCCCAGGCGCGGGCCCAGCACCGCCACGCCATCTTGGGCGCCTCCCCACCCGCCGAGCACTTCCGGGGCAGCCGGCCGCCATCTTGCGGCGGGGCCGGGGGGGAGCTGCTCGGTCACCCCTCACAGCGCCCCGGGCGAGGGGCGGCCCCCGGGGGTCCCCGGCGACCTGCCGGGAGCTGCTGTCGGCCGCCGGGTCGGGTCCGCCCACCTCCCACCCCGGCCGCCATGTGGAGAGGGTCAGCCCGGCTCTGCCCCGCCGTGGTGGGAGCGGGGCGTCTTCGGCCGCCATGATGAGTGTGGCAGCTCCTTTGCCTCCTGTGCCCCCCGGGCCTGTAGCGCTGGCACCATGTAATTAAGGGCTTCCGTGTTTTTCATGTATTATTTTTTCTCTAGATGCCTTGTAGAATAGTCAGAGCCTGTCTCCTCCTAAGCCTGGGGCTCAGCCTGCAGCAGCAGAGTGGGCTGTGGGTGCTGTCTCATCCTTGCCTTGCTCTGGTATGTGGCTCCACTTCACCTCACCACCTTTCTTCCCCTCGCTCCTCTGTCCTGCCTTACCACCGGGCTGCTCCAGCAAAGGGCTGCATCTGGCTGACCCAGGAGCCGGGCAACTGCTTCTGCCCTAGAGCCTCCTCTCAGGTCTCTTTGCCGTGCTCTCCTTCACCCTGACCCCTTTGCTGCCGATCAGGGCTCCCAGTCTCCAGCACTGGGCTGCTCTTACCAGTGTGAGCTTGGTGCCAGCAGTGTGGCCAGGTGGTTCCCTGAAGGGCTGGCAAGGTGTCATGCTGGCAGAGAGCAGTCCCTGCTCTGGCACTGGCAGCCCAACCAGTGCTGCCAACACCACCACCCTCCTGAAATTTAATGGGAAAAGAAAATAGGTGTGTTTGCTTTGAAACTGACATGTAATTGGCGAGTTTCGAGAAGTTGCATGCACCTTTCTGGTTAGCTGTGTTGCTGTGGAGATACTAATGGGACAGCCAAGCGGCCTGCACGCCAGTTACGGCTGGGCCTTCAGAGCTGCCAAAATCAAGTAGCTGAATAAATAGTGGTTTATCTCAGAGGTGCATGTGAAGGATGAGAGGCAGAATCCACATGTTGCAGCAGGAAAATTTCTGTCTGGGTGTGAGGAACACACTCCTTGGGAGAGTGCTTGTGCCATCTCCAGCCCTGGAGGCAGCTCTGGCGTGACAGGACAAAGCTTGGGCAACCTGACCCAACACTGAAGCAGTGCTGTAGTGAGAGGTTAGTATCCATGTTGTCCCTTCCAACCCAAATTATTCTGTAGCTCATTGTGTGAAGCGACAGTTAATAGCAAGATGAGAAGGATCTGTGTATTGTAATTGCAAGTGGCTATAAACCTGATTAGACTACTAATAAGTTGCACCACTTTTGGGAACACGGTTACAAAGTCAAATCCTTTGGAAGTGGAGAGGAAATAAATTAACATTGTTCCTCTTTTTTTTTTTTTTTTTTAACAAGTAGGGAAAGAGTTTGCCTTTTCATCTCAAGGTCAGACTCTGACCTGAGGAAACCTCTGTAAGCTTGTGGTGGGAGACTGCTGTAAGTGGTTTAGTACTGTATTTACATCTGCATTTTATCTCTTTCTGATTGTACAGGTGGCCATGGGTCAGCCTCAGAATTTGCTTGAAGTCAGAAATGATTAGCAGGTTCCAAGCCGTGTATTGCAGGTGTTAAAATGTATATATACATATGTGAATGAAACCAGTGTTCTAATCAATGCTCTGTCTCTGTTTTTCTATGTAACAAAATGAAAAAGAAGTAAAAGAGTTTTTTAACTTTCCAGTTTACTGAAAAAGTAAAAGTACTTTAACTTTCCAGACACTTTTATCACTGATTTTTGCTTCCAGAGACCTTATCAGGAGCAATTTGTTTGTTGAGCTGACTTAAATATTTTTCTTTGTTAACCCTTCCCATCCTGTCTTGAAAAAACTGTGCTGTTTTTAGTGTTGTGATATTTTTGCTCCCCGGGGCTTTTTCTGGTCACATTACAGCTCTTAGTTGTATATAGCCTATGCATGCAATTTGCGAGGGATGATGCTCTGGCCTTTTTGTTTTTATTTGGTTTTGGTTTGTGGTCATTCTCCTTTGGGCAGTTGCATAGCATATTTGCTATTAGTTGTGCCGTACTCTCAAATCTACAAACAGTGACAGCATGTGGCAGCTGGTACCATCAAATCCTGGAGGGCAGGGTGTGCGTGGTACCAGTTGAAAGAGGAGAACAGATGTGGTGTTGGTTGAAATAACAAGCTGTTTGCTTTTGAAAGCTGCTCTTTTGCAGATGTTCTCAGTTAGCGAACTCTTACCCTGTTGAAGCAATGCATTTCGGTGGTGTTACTTTTATCCTTAAAACTACAAGAGTGGTAAAAAATAAGCACCGCCATTGCATGAGGACTGCCATCTTGTGCATGTCTGGTGGCCCAGAGGGAGTAAGGTATCATCTGGACTGTCCCGTGGGTTTTGGGTGGTAGCAGCAGGGTCTGGAAGGGATGAGTGAGAGTGGCTCCTTGGAGCAGAGGAAGACAAAGAGAGGAGGAGCGACAGCAGCAAAGTGGTTGCAGAGCTGTGCCTGCTGGACCTCCTTTGGCCAGGAGCCAGGGAGGTCTGTCCTGCCGCGGGGCATGGCTGAAATCACAAACAGTTCTGTTCATGTGATCCACTGGACAAGTTTCTGTCTGCACTGATTACTGATTGCAGGGCTTAAATGCTGCTAAGGAAATATAAAGAATATAAATAAAATGATTTTTTTTTTTTAAACAAGCAAACAGCCCCCTCCTTTTATTTTTTTTTTATTTTTTTTTTCTCCTTTTTTCTTTCACCGGCCCTTGTTTTACCTATTATTGACATGCATTTCAGGAGAGGCTCTGGGCCTCTCTGCTCCTGCCTTGTGTGACCTATTGATATGTGGTATCACCAGGCTCCCAACCCTCCCTGAGACCCCAGACCCACTCCCTGGCCCCTAAGGGTTCCAATGCCAGCACTGTGTGCTTTGCTTTCTAAGTGGTAAAGTTTTCCTTTGCACGCTTGTCTTAAGGTCTGGAAAATAAAACCCCTTTCTGTTGGTCCATCATGCACCATACTATCAAAGTTTATTCTTTTTGCCACTTTACATCTCCCTGTGTGCACCTTTCTATTGAGGACTGCTCACCTACAGTGAGAAACTCATGGATGCTGTATCATCTGCAACAGGTACATTAATGCGGGACAGTCATTTTAAGGGTGGCAGAAGGATATTTGTAGTGGTATTTGTTGTCCTGCTATCACATGGTTAAATTTGGGCCAGGGTGGAGGAAGGTTGTTATTCTGTTTTTGCAAAATCTACTTTCCAAGCTTCTTCGCTTTGAAACCTCTGATATTTTAAGTTATTGTGTTTTAATGAGAAGTTTATGTTTACAACTTTGACATATGTCCTACCCATAGTGATGGTGTAGAACATGTAGTTTTATCTTCTTTTCCTTGCTGCCAGGAATGAATTGTGATTGCACGGGTCATGCCTGCGTAATAGGCAGAAACATTCATTTGGATTATTGGCCTGCACATGTGGTGTGAAGTCTGCTTGCATTTATTGCTTAATTTAAACTTGTCATTTATTTCAGATATTCTCTGTTGCGAGTTATGTGTGTTTTTGAAGAGGTTATGCAATCACTTGAGAGACAAATGCACCCTCCTCAGTGTGAAATCAGAGTTTTATAGTGGAATATGAGTGGAGGCTTGAATTCCTCTTCTTCTTTTTTTTTTTTTTTTTTTTTTTTAATGCAGAAAACATGCTTATTCCTTCACAATGCGGGCTGCATCCTAAAACAAATCCTGTCTTCAGTTGTTTGCCTGCCCACCTCAAATTCTGTGTCCAGTTTGGGGCCCCTCAGTACAAGAAAGACATTGAGGTGCTGGAGAGGTTCCAGAGAAGGTCAATGAATGAGGTGAGGGGTCTGGAGAACAAGTTTTATGAGGAGAGTCTGAGGGAGCTGGGGGTGTTCAGCCTGGAGAAAAGAAGGCTGAGGGGAGACCTTGTCGCTCTCTATAACTCCCTGAAAGGATGGTGTAGAGAGGAGGGGTCGCTCTCTTCTCCCAAGTCACGGGCAATAATCCAAGAGGAAATAGCCTCAAGTTGCAACAGGGGAGATTTAGACTGGATAATAGGAAAAATGTTTACATGGAAAGAGTTATAAAGCATTGGAATGGGCTGCCCAGGGAAGTGGTTGAGGCACCATCCCTGGAGGTATTTAAAAGACGGGTTGACATAGTGCTTAGTGACATGGTTTAGTGATGGTTTTTTATCAGGGTTAGGTTGATGGTTGGACTTGATGATCTGAAAGGTCCCTTCCAACCTAGACAATTCTATGATTCTATATGGACACAGTCCTCCTTTCATGAAAACAGTGTCTTGGTGACAAGTGCAACAAAAGTTTCAATTAAAACAGTCATTTTGAGTATTGTAGTAGTATTTTTTGGCATTGCTTTGGAGTCTGATGGTGCTTAGTGACAATGATATAGCACATTATATGACAATGGTTTGCAGGTTAATCTGAGCATCTTTCATACTAACTTACATGATTTTGTTGTAATTTTAATGTTTGAGACGTCCATTGCACTGAAATTTTGCTGTAGCGAAAAGCCATGCCCGAGCCTTTGTGCAACAGTTGGTCAGAGCTTTGGCCCCAGGTCCTTGATTTTTAGAATGAGGGGAAAGGTCCTAAAGAGTACAAAACTTTCACTTGTTTGATCAAACTGGTCCTCACAAAGTGCTGACACTAGTGTCTAGCAGGAAGGTACATGAAACAGGTTAGAAACATACCGTAAACGTGAGTATCAACACTTAATTTGTTTTAAATTTGTATTAATAGGCATTGTAATTGGGAGATGAATAATTTATTAAAGCATTTGACAGTTTTAATATTAAAAGAATTTTGAGTTAGCAAACAAGTAAAGAACGGATGAAAAATTGCAAATTCAAATTAGAGAATTCCTCAGTTGGGTCCTCTGGTTTTGCTCCGTTGGCATTTTTTTTGTGGTAAAAGCATATGGTAATAAAACTGTTCCTTAGAAAATACTCAGATGTCATAGAATATTTAAGTATTCCAACTATTTAATGAGATTTGGATTCCAGTTCTACAATTTCCTTATGAGATAAATTATTTTGTAGGTAGGCAGCTTGTTGATGCTTTTGTAAAGGTCAGGCTTGTGTAAAGATAACTCCATGTACTTTATGTGTATAAACTGTTTCAACAGGTTTCTAATATCAGAAATTTGGGGAGGTTTCTTTGAAAACTACTTCTGCTAGAAGAATGGCGTCATCCTCTCTACAAATTTGTGCCTTGCTGCTGGCTTTAGCGGGATTCACTATTTCACTTGTTACTACCATGTCCAACAGATGGAAAATTTCGGACGTGACAACGGTGCTCGTTACTACAGACTGGATTTATGAAGGTCTTTGGATGGAATGTGCAGTGGTTTCTTTGGGATCAGTACAGTGCAAGAAGTTTCCCTACATGTTGAGTTCAGAGAGTAAGTGCACGTGGCATATCTATCTAAAATCCAGGGATGTGGTTTTATTCCTTCCTTCTGGATGGTGTGTTAGTGTGATTGGGTGGCATAAACTGTGGCTGTCACAGAGGGTCTAGTGTGGACAGCATTTGTCCTGTAGTACTTGCAGGCAGGTTAAAGGGCTCCAGTGAAACACACGTGCTTCACCCTGCAATTCAGCTCAATAACTACTGTGGCTTTATTGCCATCTCTGCCGGGTGATATACAATGAATCTAAGATTTTTTTGGTTGTTTTGGAAGAAATAGCATCCTTTTATTCAGCCTAATACTTAACAACAAGCAGATCCTAGCTAGGTCAATGAGCAGTCGTGCTTGTTTGTGCTTCGGTGTGAGACATGGGCTTTGTAGGTATTCCAGGACTTGTTTGATACTTTGTGCTAAATCTGTGTGTTTGTTTGGGAATTTCTCAGAGGTGGCCAGCTTGAATTAAAATGCCTCTGTGTGACCGATGCTTTTGTGTTTTCTGAGGTGGACTGTGGTAGCAGAGTAGTTTATCTGCAAATAGAAAGAGAAGAATTGTCTTTGTAGGGACTGAAAATTGTTTTGATTGTTCTGGATTTTAAAAATATCTTTCTGTGAACACTGTTTTTAAGGTAAAGGACTAAGAAGGACTGCCATTGAAGTTCTTTCCTTTGAAAACTGAGTTTAGAAACACTAACAGTATAGCCTTTGAAAACTGGTATTTTGTTAAGCTTTCTTAAGCAGAACTTTACATTTATTCTTTTACTGCTTCCAGTATTGTGCAGTCACTTTATGAGCTATATAATGGAATCATTTCTTCAAGCCTTCCCTGCTTTATAGATCCCCGATTACTGTCATTGCTGTTTACCTGGACTCTGTCAGGCTGATTTATTCTCAATGCGCAGTGCTTAAAACTTATAAATGCCACATCTCACAGACTATGAATGCTTTCTTGATGAAACACTGTTTTTAAGGTAAAGGATTAAGAAGGACTGACACTGAAGTTCGTTCCTTTGAAAACTGAGTTTAGAAACACTAACAGTATAGCCTTTGAAAACTGGTATTTTGTTAAGCTTTCTTAAGCAGAACTTTACATTTATTCTTTTACTGCTTCCAGTATTGTGCAGTCACTTTATGAGCTATATAATGGAATCATTTCTTCAAGCCTTCCCTGCTTTATAGATCCCCGATTACTGTCATTGCTGTTTACCTGGACTCTGTCAGGCTGATTTATTCTCAATGCGCAGTGCTTAAAACTTATAAATGCCACATCTCACAGACTATGAATGCTTTCTTGATGCAGACATGGACTCCACTGAAGTCAGAGATGCCTAACTGTAAGACAGATCTCTTGAAATGTGAGAGATTTAACTCTGGAAATTCAGCATATTCGTGGTTCTTCCTCAGGGCCCTGACTTTGGTGGCCTCATCTGCTTTCATAATGATGGTGCCAGTTTAAGAGCAAGTGTCAGCGCCCTGTAACGAGGCCAGAATTTGTAGCCTCAAAAGGAGACTAATCACATGCTTCCAAGGATGTTAAAAACACTACTTACTGCGTCAGAGACAATGTCAGCTTTTCATACCGTTCTGGTACCTGGTTCTTCTCCTCTCTAAGACTTCCTCTGTGTATATAGCAGGATGCCTAAGGTTCATCTAGAAACTTAGATATGATTTCTGGAAATCAGAGGGATGAGATGGGGCCAACAATCCTTCAGTTCTGATATGTGGTAGCAAGATGGCATGGGTGCTTTCGGTGGGGTGGCAGCTCTGCTTTGGCTTGTATAACAGGGAGAAATGGGTATTTCAGCCCTGTTATGAAGACAAGCAGAGTCAATGTGGGACAGCATCCATTTTTCCTAAAATGCAGTTTCATTACACCCAACGTGGAGAGTTCTTGGTGACATGAAACAGTCGCCTCCCAGGGGTTCTCTTCCCTCCCTTCCCATGGCCACCATAATTGGAAGAGGGATCCTCTGGCTGGCAGGGCTCGGTGGATTATTTTCAGCTGTTCAAAAAACTGTATGTCCCCTGAAATCAGCATGGGCTTCCTCATGCCAACTATGCATGGTCTTCCTCATGCAGTTCCTCATGCATGTCATGTGGCTGCCTGCAGGGTAATTGCTGTCTGTCGCAGGGCTGTTTCTCTTCTTACAGTGCTCAGTCAGCAGTCTTGAAACAAATCTACAGAAGTGGTTGAAAAGGTACAGCTCATGTTGACCAGACATTTAAGACGTTAATGTTTTCAGTATTTTTTTCCCAACTGTATGGGCTGTATTTTTCCCAACTGTATTGATTTTTCCCAGCTGTAAACCCTCTCTCAACCATATTACATGCAATTATGCTCTGTTTGGAGAATATCAGTGGGATAAGGAGCAATTTCTCTCCTTGGTCATATATTGCTAAGGTTATATATGGTCACATCATGGCATGCCTGTGTTAGTGTTTTACTTAGATCAGGAGCGCACTTGTGTATTGAGTTTTCCAGTTATTCCCATTTCCTGCACTTGGTTTGCGCAAATTGGAGTGCGCACATTTGTTTCCTCATGGATGAGGGAGAGCAGGGAAATGTGCTCCTGGAATGCACTTCCAGACTTCCAACTGTTGACAAGTGTTCAGTTCACCCGGCCAGGTTAGAGCTAGACTGAAGGAAAACTCCCAAGTCGTGGATGGTGTTGATGTGAAGCGATCAACACCGCCTCTTTTACGCTGCTGATGCAGATGTCCATCGCTTATCAAACCATAGTTTTCCAAATTTAGTGAAGAATAACTCTATGTTCTTCAACAGCATTGAAGAGTGATTTCCTTAGGGAATGATTAAAATGCCTGGTGCCATATAGGAAAAACTCATGCATTCCAGGTCTGCGGTTCGATCATTTATATGTGTGCTTTGTGACTGTCTGTTTAAATTGCTTTTTTTAAATTAGGAAGAGATATTATTTAAAAAATGTTTTTTTCCTTGGCAGCAGTATAAAATTTCACTGAATATTTTCACTGAATTTCACTGAATTTTAGAGTTGGAAGGGACCATAGAGATCATCTAGTCCAACTCCCCTGCTGAAGCAGGATTGCCTAGAGCTAGAGCATGTTACTCAGGACTGCATCCAGGGGGGTCTTGAAAATCTCCAAGGAAGGGGACTCCACACCCTCCCTGGGCAGCCTGTTCCAGGGTTCTGCCACCCTCACCGTGAAGAAGTTTCTCCTCATATTTGAGTGGAACCTCTTATGTTCCAACTTGTGCCCGTTGCCCCTCGTCCTCTCACTGGGAACCACTGAAAAGAGTCTGGCTCCCTCCTCCTTCAACCCTCCCTTGAGATACTTGTAGGCATTGATAAGGTCTCCCCTCAGCCTTCTCTTCTCCAGACTAAAGAGTCCCAGCTCTCTCAGTCTCTCCTCATAAGGGAGATGCTCCAATCCTTTGATTCAAGGTCCCAACTGAACTCAGCTTGGAAAGTGCTGTCAGCAGAAGTGATTGCTGAGGTCACCCAGGTAGCACCTGTGTATGGATAAATGATTTGAAACTCTTTGAAGGGCTTTTAATGGGATGCAGGTACTCCAGAATACTGGTATGGTTTGTTCATTTTACTATGCCAGTGTTTTTCTAATCACAGTGACTTAACAGAAAGAGGGAATTCTGTAAAAGTCACCTGAGAAGATCAATTCTTAGCACATACCATGTAGTTTCTTTGAAAGATCGCAAGTACAGAGCTGCACAGGATCACACTGGCTGCGCTGCCAAATCTGTTCTTCTTTAAATCAATGACAACGATCCTCTGGGCTGCCAAGGGAGCAAAAATGTCATGGTGGCACCATCATATCCTTTTGCAGCCCAGCCTATCAACCTACAGCATCAGCTCTAAGTGATTGGTGAATTTTGAAAAAAACCCAGATATTTGTTACGGGCAAGTTATGGCTCTCTCAACGGCTAATCCTTCTGGTAGTCTTTGTGTAAATGCTGTGAATCTGTTACCATGTTGCGTCACAGCAGGATTATTTTATGAAGAAACTCTGACTCCATTTCCTGGAGATAAGAGCAGGTTATCACTGCAAGAGATGGTTAACCCCATTTGGATACACAAGCAGTTTAAGGTATTAACATTAGTATAATGGTGTGAATGGAATCTAATATTTTGTCTAGTCAAGAGCAGAAGCAAGTAAACCAAGTTTAACATTCTTCTACTTTGCCTAGAATAGATTTTTTTTTAATACTGGGATATTCTGATAAACAGATGCAATCAGCTGATATGTATTATTTTTCATATAGCTGTTTTCCTTCATCATTTTATTCCATGGCTCATTCGTTCCCTTATATTTCATTTCTGTGAAACATATACATCATTACAATGGTATTCCAGTGTAAGTGGGACTATTTTTAAGACTCAAAGTGTTTGACTATAGATCAATAGACTGTAAAATATTAATGGAAACCACTCATTCACAGACTTAAACTTCCTGAAGATGCTGGCAGTACAGTTGCTATGGATTACTTATGACCATAACTCCAAAGAATGTGCTAAATTTTCTAGCAACAGAATAAAATTTCAATTCCTGAGCTTTCTTATGCTTGAGTCATCAAGGCAACAGCATAGTAAAGCTTTTTGATTTGAGATGAATAATAGAATTATAAATTATTTTAATCTTGTGTAAATCCTAGTTGACTTCAGAGGAGAGACAGAAATTAAGTATTTGCCAATATTATCAGTCTTACAAGATATTTTGTAGACATACTGACTAGAGTTTCTAGGGTGAGACTAGGAATAGGCTCATTTTGTCATTTCTCATTAGAAAAAGAATTAATATTGTTATAAAAAAAAAAGTTAATATCTTTATCATGAACTGCTCCCACTTCTTATTGTCATGCACCGTAAGCCTTATCTCTGGGGTTGAGCAAAGAGCAAAGGTAGTCTCATTTTGGAGTGAAACCCAGAGATAAAACAGCAAGGAGGCTTCAGAAAGGCTTCACTTGATTGTAATCTAATTATAGGAATATTTAACTGTTACTT